AAAAAAAAAAAGAATGGGAGAAAATATCTGCAAACTATTCATCTGACAGGAAATTAATAGCCAAAATATATGAGGAACTTAAATATCTCAATAGCCAAAAAAAACCAAAAAACTGGCTCATACCTGTAATCCCAGCCCTTTGTGAAGCTGAGGTGGGTGGATCACTAGAGGTCAGGAGTTCCAGACTAGCCTAGCCAACATGATGAAACCTCATCTCTACTAAAAATACAAAAATTAGCCAGGTGGGGTGGTGCACACCTGTAGTGCCAGCTACTTGGGTTGCTGAAGAACAAGAATCACTTGAACCCTGGAGGTGGAGGTGGCAATGAGCCAAGATTGTGCTACTGTACTCCAGCCTGAGCAAAAGGGCCAGACTCCGTCTCAAAAAAAAAAAAAAAAAAAAAAAAAAAAAAAAAAATCCAACTAAAAAATGAGCAAATAATATGAATTTATATTTTTCAAAAGAAGACATACAAGTAGCCAACAAGTATATTTTAAAATGCTCAACATAATTAAGCATCAAGGAAATGTAAATCAAAAACATAATGAGGTATCATCTTACCCCATTTAGGATAGCTATTATCAAAAAGACAAAAAATAACAAATACTGGCAAGGATGCAGAGAAAAGGGAACTCTTTTCTGACTGTTGTGAATGTAAAGTACAGCCACTATGGAGAACAGTATGGAGGTTCCTCAAAAAACTACAAATAGAACAACCATATGATCTAGCAATGCCACTACTGAGTATATACTCAAAGGAATTGAAATCAGTATGTTGAAGATAGGTCTGCACCCCCGTGTTTATTGCAGCACAATAGCCAAGATATGGAATCAACCTGAGTATCCAATAACAGATGAATGGATGAAGAAAATTTGGTACATACACACAATGGAATACTACTAAGCCACAAAAAAAAAAGAATGAAATCCCGTCATTTGTGGCAACATGGATAGAATCAGAGGACATTATGTTAAGTGAAATACTGCATGTTCTCATTCACATGTAGAAGCTAAGAAATGCTGATCGCTCTTTTCTTTTATTTATTTTTTTTTTTTTTGAGACAGGATCTGGCTCTGTCACTCAGGCTGGAATGTAGTGGTACAATCTCAGCTCCCTTGAGCCTCCTAGGCTCAGGTCATCCTCCTACTTCAGCCTCCCAAGTAGCTGGGACTACAGGCACATGCCACCATGCACTATACAGCTAATTTTTATATTTTTTGTAGAGATGGGATTTCACCATCTTGCCTAGGCTGGTCTTGAACTCCTGAGCTCAAGCAGTCAGCCTGCTGCAGCCTCCCAAAGTGCTAGGATTATGAGCATGAGTCATGATACCGGTCAGCTAATCTCATAAAAGTAAAAAGTATAACAGAGGATATTAGAGACTGGGAAGGGTAGAGAAAAGGAAGAGATAGGCTGAAATTTGTTAAAATATACAAAATTACAGCCAGATAGGAGGAATAAGTTCTAGTGTTCTATAGTACTGTAGGATAACTACAGTTAGCAATAATATATGGTTTCAAATAGGACAACTATACTGAATGTTCTCAACACAAAGAAATGATAAATGTTTGAGACGGATATGCTAATTACCCTGATCTCATCACTATACATTGTATGTACAGAAACATCACTAAGTACCCCATGGATATGTGCAATTATTATGTGTCAACTAAAAAGAAAATCCAAAAGAATGAAAATAAGAAAAAGAAATCTTATTTTAATCCCATTAAATCACACAGTTTAAGAAGTTAAATTAACTTTTAGAAAAGGTAATATACATTGTTAAGTTGTCACAATTACATTTTCTTTTTATATTTTTCTTTCTGAGACAGAGTCTTGCACTGTAGCCCAGGATAGAGTGCAGTGGCCTGATCGCAGCTGACTGAAACCTCGGCCACCCGAGTTCAAGTGATTATCATGCCTCAGCCTCCCGAGTAGCTGGGACTACAGGCGCAGACCACCACATCCAACTAATTTTTGTATTTTTAGTACAGATGGAGTTTCACCATGTTGGCCAGGCTGGTCTCGAACTCCTGACCTCAGTTGTCTGCCCACTTTGGCTTCCCAAAATGCTGGGATTACAGGCATGAGCCACCATCACCAGCCGTTACATTTTCTTTTTTTTTTTTTTGAGACAGAGTTTCGCTCTTGTTACCCAGGCTGGAGTGCAATGGCGCGATCTCGGCTCACCACAACCTCCGCCTCCTGGGTTCAGGCAATTCTCCTGCCTCAGCCTC